CCAAAGCTCTGCATCACTGTCAAATCTCTTGCCATTTGGACCCCCTGACGTACATTTGATGAACATTGTTGTTCATGCACTGACCAACCTCCATTTCCCTCCTCCAGCAAAAAGATATTCACTTTTTTCGTGCAATTGCAGAAAGTTCTCTAGCCCAGAACAGGATCGGGTGTAAAGGATATCAACAATCACAATGTGCAAGGAAATAACGGAAATCCGGTACGGATCAAACACCGGACCCATGCAGGGAGCAAGACAAATGGAAATGAATCAGGCTTAGGCAAAAAAGGGAATCGAGAATCGTGAGACCTTGACGGAGATGGTGGGGGCGCTAGAATGATCATCGGAAACGACGACGTAGTCGGCGAGAACGACGACGTTGTTGTGGAGTTCCTCGGAGACGCATTTCGTCCCCGACGGCGGGAGATTCAACCATATCGCCTCCGTCACCGGCGCATTGCCCCAAAACGGCGATGTACACAGTAAGATGGCGAAGAAGGGCGGCAATTTCATCGTAATCATCCCCTGCCCCGAGCACCTTCGGCTCTATCTACCACACGCTACGGTTTAGTTCTCTCTCTCTCCAGAAATTGGTTCTGAAATCCGCAGGATGATTTTCTTTACGGTTGGCGTTGGGATCGCTGTTGTTCCTCGCTTGCGCTCCTCGTGTCCATCTTCTGCTTCAGCTTCGCTCTCTGCTTTTTTGTTCTTTCTTTTCTCACTCACTATTTTGGCCATTCTCTGCCATTATTTTGGTTCCGGAAACAAGAAGAAAAGCTTTTCTTTTTCGTCTGCGGATTGTTGGGCCCCAATTTCAGGTCCATGGCCCATGGGCATAACCGTGGATTGGAAGTGATAAGAAATGATTTTCCACATGATTGGGCTTTTTCTTCAGTCTGTTGGACGATTACTCGGGACGATTTTTTTTTTTTTTGAGAAGACGGAGCGCTAGAGGACGTCCCAACCAATGCTGTCAAAATCGAGCCGGAGTATGACCCGGTAACGTGAACGGCTCGGTCATTAGTGGTCCAGCCGGCATTAAACCGTTTAAAAACCGTTTGAGAACCGGTACATTATAAACAATATAATATCATAGTAGAACACACATAAAGTAATAATTCAATGATTTAATGAGTAAAAATGATAATTACAGGTACCATTTAATAATTCTACACAACATATATATACAGCAACTAAAAAAAACCCTAACCTAATCCTAAGCGACAGCGCCGCTTCCCCATCCATCACTCTCCTTTCTTCCGCTTACCCATCCCCCCTCCCTCTCTCCTTCGTCCTCTCCACCGCCGCACCTATTTTCATTTTTCAGCCACTATAGCCTTCTGCAATTCCTCAAAAATCCATCACCACATTCAATTCTTCCTCATCCTTTCTTAACCCGTAAATGCTCTTCCTCGTCCCAATCCGCGAAATGGCTTGGATTCAATCCAAGCCTCTGGTGAGACAGGGCAGCTTAGCGGGGAGCTGCTTGCAACGGTGGCGACGGGATGGAAGCGCCGAGAGCGGGGAGCTGCTTGCTACAACAAGGACTGGCGATGGCGATGGCGATGGCGATGCGATGGGGACTAGGGATGGCGATGCCGTCGGGAAGCGCCGATGCCGGGACAAGAGGTGTTGACTGCCGATTCCACGATTGGCCTTTTCTATTATTTTTTTAGGGTAAACCAAACGGCCGAACCGCGCGACCGGCTTGAACGGCTCGAGCGGTTAACCGCTTCGGCCGCTCGCTGTATAAAACCGTGGCGGTTAAATAGCTTATCCGAGCCGGTTTTACAGCCGGGTGGCGACTTTGGCGGTCCGTCCGTCCGGCTCGTTTCGGCTTTGACAGCACTGGACTCCCAACCTTTAATTAAAAGACGGAACCAAACCGGGGCTGACTAACCACAACCGAGTCATAATACAACCAATACGAAAGCATAGGGCAAGGAGTAGCGATGTTGTGATCACCCGACGGTAGGCCGTGGCCCAAGGACGCCAAGTAATCGGCAACAACGTTACCCTCCCTAGAAAACATGAAACATCTCCACCTCCCAATCCTGTGCCATACGAACAATCATTTTTACTGTATCGAAATCGCTAGTAATCATCGATCAATCGCCAGTCAGCCATTCGACGGTGAAGTGGTTCCTGGACCTTGTAAAAAGTGTGACGATTCACAATAAGACGGTCAACAAGGTACAATCTGACTAGTACATGATCACTATCAAGAGTTCAACTGGAAGCAATGTATTGACATAGTTCTTGACATAACCACAATGTACAGTCACATAGAGAAAGTGTTAATGCTTGGTTAAAGATGAACACACTCACACAATCAGATATACCTGGAATCCTTGGATTGCTTTAGCCTAGCTTTTCAAGAAGCGGTTGAGATGAGTCGATGCCAGCGATCCGAGAATCCGAACCACCTTAGGCAAGGTAGGATAAGTAAGGGTTCCGAGGATGAAGCAGTTGAAGCTCAGGAGAGCAACAACATCGTAAGCCGGCTTGTTCCTGATCGTCGAGAAGAACTTCAACGCGTTCCTCATCGACATCCCCACGACGGTGTAGAGAGCCACCACCAGCGGCATCACCGTGTCCTTCCCTTCCCACGCGATCATCCCAACGGTTAGGGACAGCACCGCGCTTAGCACGCTCTGCGACACTGCCATGTCTCTCTGCTCCAACAACACCACTTCATCATTCACATCTGAATCCCCTGCCAGTTCAGAAATGTCAGCAGCATTCTCATCAGAAATGTGCTTTCTCTGATCCTCCTCCCCTGCATTGCCTCCCAAGGTGGTTCGCAGCTGCTCGCGCTCGATCATCGTTAACCGATGATTCGCGACCTTCAGAGTATGCAATTGCAAAGAGATGCACACACAAAAAGAAGCTAATTAATTCATCGATCTTGGCCGCGCAAAGTAGTCAAAATCGCGCTTTACTAGGCAAAATCATCATCACAAGTACTAGTAGCAGTACTAGGTGATCATATTCATACAAAAAAAAAAAAAAATTCCAATTAATTACCTCCCTCTCCATCAGCTCAAGCTTGGTTATCAACTTGTCACTTTCATCTTCAGCTTCTGCCAACAACGAATCCAAGTTCTTGCATTCCTTAACCGCGACCCGGAGGTGATCTTCCAGTACCTTCCTCTCCCAGCTGACATTCTCCAACTCTGCCTGCACAACAGCCAGCTGCTCCTCCAACTGTACAATTAAATCGAATTATCAGAACAGAGTATACAACATTGATTGGAGTTCCATAGCACATTCAATCAATAAACAGAACGAGAAATTAGTCAGATTACTAACCATTCTCTGCCTGCCCAAGGCGGTCAGAACCCGAAAGGGAAGAGAGGCAAGAGCGATGATGCAAATGACGGCGCTCCTGAACAATCGAAGATGCAAGCTGATTGAAGCCGCTATAAGCTCTGCCCATGTGTTGATGACGAGGAACGCGGCTCGGAAGGCGAACACGAACAACGAGAGGCCCATTGAGAAAGGCTTGGTGATCGCCGTTGTCATGGTAGTGGAGACCATGCTGGTGAAGAGTGCCGCCACATCCGCCATGACTGTAATTGATTGATTGATTGATTGAAAGTAAGAAAACAGAGGATGGAAAGTAAGAAAACAGAGGAAACTGGCTTATTTCTGCGGGGAGCTGGAACCCAAGTTTTGGAATTGACTCACCGAGTAAAAGTTCGAGCAGGATTAATTTAATTCCCAGTCAGTTGAGAGAGAGACGTGGGAAGAAGTAACGAACGGTGAGGTTGCCGGCGGGTTTCTGGACGGAAAACATCAATTGTCTGGTAACCGGTAAAGATATGGATCACGAGTATAGAGAGAGAGAGAGAACCGGTGAGTTTGGCGACGTCAGCTAATCAAGCTGCTGCTGGTTGCTCGTTTTCTTGTGCTTCTTCTGCATGGGATGTCAGATGTGGCAGCCATAGAGACTGCCACGAAGAGATGAAGTGTGCCAATTGCCCATACTGCCATGGTTGGTTTTGTCGAATCCCAGGATTTGTTAAATCAAGACAATGGATTTGTTAAATCAAAGATAATCTACAAGAATATAGATGGCATATATAGCTTGTTTCCACCCCATTCAAATTCTACCCCAACAAGAATGGGAAAAAAAAGACATATTAGGAGTTGATCAATGATCATCTTCAACAATGATAAGCATCTTAACTAATCAAATTACATACATTAATTGTATCATTTTAAATAAATAAAAAAACACACAATAAGCTAACTGATTAGAGCATCGGGCCACTTCAAAACGATGTTGTTTACAACAATTTGTATACGTAACTACGCTGTCATATCATCATTTTACTTAACACAAAACACTACTACATTGAACATCACAGATCATGTTCGACTATCTCATCGTCGCTTCTTCTTGCTTTAGATTCGAGAGCCTATAAAGATCAAACCATCTCAGAAGCCATCATAATCCAGCAATAGTAAATTTCATTTTTCCTCCAACTGCACATTCATAGAGCCAATCAACCTCATCTCATACATATAAGAAGCAAAAAATTATTAGAGGAACATGCATTTGAGTTGAAACTTTGTGTGACTAATAGAGGTCAAATTCCTCGTTGTAATTATTGTTTAATACTTAATTAAATTCCTATATATCTTATAAATAGAGTATAACTTTAAAATCGTGGCTCAAATATAATTGGTTCGAATATTCTATATCGAATTGAAGTATTGAATATGTAGAAGTGATGTATAGTTCTTAAATTAGTATTAAGTTTTAGACCTACTATGAAACAATCGTATTCGTATCTTTGTTGTAAATTATATGGAATTGGTTCTTTGAACATTTTAGTTTGGCTAACCGTCAAATTGTAAACCTCTTCCTATTCTGACATGATTGGATCTAACAATCATTACTAGTTTAATAAATTGGCTCATTTAACCTTTTTTAAATGTGTTAATGAATTTATAGTGAAAGTACATGTCTTTATCTACACTCTACACAATATGTAATACTGAAATGAGAACAGGAACAGGAATCCTGCACATTCTCAAGGAACAGGAACTGCAGATCAATTGTCAACATAGAGGAAGTAGCTTGGGATGCGTTTCCGTGTTCATCACATCTTTGTTAATCTCCATTTTAACATATCTACCAATTACCATAATGAATCCAGTGGGAATAATATCGTCATAGGTTGAAAGTGAGGAATCAAGAAGATAATGAATATTCAAGTGAATCATTCTGCTGTCTGAACTGAATACTAACTTCCTGAGCAGCCTGCAAATTGCTATCTCTGCAACTGTCTGTGCAATTCAATCCAAACTAATGGCACAAGCAAGAATGGAATCTCTGTAGCAGGAGGTGGCAGTAGGTTTGCTTTATGTCTCAAAAAACCGAAGCTCCACCAGGAACTCCCGCTGCTTGGGCGAATACCACGCAATTGCCTTAGCTGAACCAAGGACTTGTAGCGCATACTCGAGTGCAAATACCGGATCATGTGCCTGTGCATACCAATTCGTCTGCTTGTTCAACCCCACAGTTACCCCAGAGTCGACTCTGAAGCTAAATGGCCCGACAATCTGCAATCAAAATGATCAGTTAACTAGGACGCCAGCACCTTGATGCAGTAAATCATCAAAGGATGATGAAACAAGAGGAAACAGTGAGTGTGTTTAAGATTCTGTTACCTGCTGTTGAAGAGAAATAGTTGCACTTGGGCAAATGGCTTCGAGTGCTTTATTAGTCGGTTGTTGAGAGTTGACAAAATCATGTGCTAATTGAGTGGCACCAGAAAGAAATTTGCGGCCAGAAGGAAAATTGAGGCGGACATGGAACCGTGTGAGATCTAGGAACCACTTCTGGAAGCTCCCATGCTGGGCCATGAAAGAGACAGATGAAAATAAGTCAGCGTGAACTGCTGATTTAAGGGCATGAGATCGATAGGAGAATCCTGCTGCAGTGCTATGCGAATCATCCACTTCCGATGCAACCGAGTTGTCTCCATGAGAGGCCGTCATCACTGCACCTGCAAGACTTGAATATTAGGCTGGTTTCTAAACTAAGTATGCCTTTTCTTTTTTCACAAAAGAAAAAAAATTCAAAGTTGCATGATTTCCAAGTTCACAATTATTGGCCAGCCACTTAGCGAAAATCAAAGTGAAGAGAAAGGGTGAAGAACTTGAGCTATACCAATGATACCAGATGCCGAAACATGAGGAGTAGATAGGAAGATGTCAAATGGTTGCACCATCTTCAACTTCTTAGCTTCGCTCCTCCAAATTTCTAAATTTTTCTTGAAAGAGATGGCATGTCTGAGAGTAATACCAGGTAGCAGGGTAGCAGGAATCGTCTTTCCATGGTTTTCGTCGCCACCTTCAAACAACTTTGGCAATCCAGCAATATGACGCATACAGAAATGGTAACTGGCACCCGAGCTGGAAGGAATAGATGCAAGATCAAGGGCCAGGGACAAAGGTACATCCCAATAGTTTCCAGACTTGTCCAGGAAGAGGGAAGGGGAAGCTGCCTCCAAAGTGAGATTGTGATCGGGGAACTGCAAAAAACCAGAAGAGTTCAAAAAAGCAAACCCAAAGCTTCACCTTGGGAGGGAAAAAAACAGCCAAGGCCCAAGGATAAAAACAGGTTTAGAGAAATCAGAAATGGTATCTTAGATAACCTCATGATGGAGGACTGCCTTGCGGCGAGGTGGCGTATCATCATTGCCATTGGCATCAGAGCTGAGAACAAGAGTGTCTTGAGGGGTTAGTGAAAGCTCGGAATAGATGCCAAGTGCGTATAAGGATTTGTCACGAAGACATGCACAAATGGCAGGGATGAGGGATGAAGACTGGGAATCAGACGATTGAAGCAAGGTTCTGCGCTTTCTTAAGGAGGACACAAACTTGTGAAGATTGAATTGGCCTTGCAACATGGCAATCCTGTAAACACAAATCAAACCAGACAAAAGATATAGCTCCATTGTAAAATCTGAGGTGATCCATATTCTATAAAAAGAAATCGATAAATAGCTGGGTAAAGGGGCTAGAGAAGCAAAATAACTGAGATGATTCGATAAGATAATACCAGTCCTGAGATAAAGGGATAGCTAGACAACGTTGGAGATTAAACGAGTGACTGCTGGAGGCTGGAGAGTAGGAATAGGAAGGCAGGAAAGGAGCAAACATGAACCGCTGGAAGAAATCAGTCTGCTTAGGCCTGGACAGCTTCGTCCCTCGGGAAACCCCAAGAGGGAGAGGATGTCCAGGTACTGCCCTGGCCTCTCCTTCTAGGGTCACTGGAGTTGAGATGTCCAGGTCCCAAAACCCTCCGTCCATCGCCCATCTTAGCTTGTTCATAGTGCCCATTTCCAAATTCCTCTGTCTCGTGTTTCCACTGCTCTGCTGTTCCTTAGTTCTTCATCCACTCTTCCCATCCACAAAGCAATGCTGCTGTTCCTTCGTCTGATGAACACAATGATAGCATTCTCCAGACCGATTGCTCATGAAACCAACTCACTCCACCTTTTCATCTACATGACATCGGATCCTTCCTCTTCCGGGTGTTGATAACCTATATGAAGCAATCAAACGCTTCTTGAACTAATCCATTGAAGGAAAGATAACAGAAGAACAATCACATGTTCAAATCATTGAACCTAGTTGGAATTTAATCGAAACTCGGTTTCTTGAGCTTCCCCCAATACAACCATTAGTGCAAGTTGCTTATGAGACGATCAATTCCCCAAACTGCCTAGACTGGCATCAACTAGTGCTTCCTCGAGGGCAAAGAAAAGCAGACAGTACCACACCAATTATTTCTTAATTCTTATATCCATCAGTAAATCTCCCAACAATTAAACAGAACAAGAGACAGCAGCATGAAGAAAGGAGCAGCAAACCAAGAGCAAAGATTCGAACTTTTAGGGATAAGTAAGCGAAGATTCAAACTTTCAAAGACCTACATAGGTACATATGCAATTGGCATAAGAGAGTGGCAGTGAAGTATATAATAGCAGGAGTGAAGTGTCATAAAATTTCCTACCAGCAATTGGGATATCGTACATTCACATCAAGCTGGGAAGGAGAAAGACAGGCCATCAAAAAGTGCGCGAACTGAACAGGGTTTTTACCTAACAGCTGCTGTTCCGCTAGAACAGATTGATGGGAATGAGCTCTGTGTGCGATTCAGGGTTCTGAAAGGCGAAACGAATGGGCAAAATTGTTAAGAGACCGCGGAAGCAATTCAAACTCGCAATTGGGCCAGCTGGTGAGAATTTAGCTATGGGGGAATGAAGAAGACAGAATCAAATTGGAAACCGCGACGGCGGAAAGATTCAAATTGGGAAGAAAGAGAGTAAATGTGTGTTCTCGGGAGATAGCGTCACCGTCATCGTTATAAGCGACCAGCTACCACAGCGACGGCGGAGAGATTTAAATAACAATTTGATCACTAAATTTGTTGTCTTTTGCATTTTCAATGCGGAATTTGTTCTTTTGAATCATATAATCACCATAGGGCCTAAACTAGTCCTTTTTTTTTGTTTTTTTTAAAGTGGCCTAAACTAGTCCATGTTATCCATCAGCCTAGGCCAATATTTTGTTTTCGGAATAGTTGGCATAGTCACATGGCTAAATTATCATATCAAATTGATAGGAATCCACGAATTTTAACAACCAAACGGAAACTTTTATTTCGATATAGCCACCAACTTACTTCATCATTAATTATCACGCAAACGAAAAACCGACCTGATATGTCTACGTCTTGAAAAAATTATGCAAAATCATACACAGTGATGGCAATAGGGCGGGGCGGGTACCTCAATTCCCACGCCCCGCCCCACGCTACTACGGGTCGGGGCGGGTAAAACCCGCGCGGGTACGGGGCGGGGTGGGTCGACCCACTCTTACATGTTATTCAAAAAAAACACAAGTAAATTTTACTTTTTACAATAAAACATAGGGGAAAACACTTTAAGAATGAAAATATTGATAATAGAATGGATAATTGAGCCCAACAAGTTGAAAGATAGACTCTAACTAGTTGAAGAAAAGTCAAAATAGGAGAAATATGTATAGATATTGTAAGAAATTGAGATAAAATGAGTACAGAATGGGGCGGGGCGGGGCAGGGCGGGTCGGAAGTAGATACCCATGCCCCGCCCCACGCTACTGCGAATTGGATAATACCCGTCCCATCGCGGATCAGATCTGGTAATACCCGCGGGGCGGATTGAAATTGCCATCACTAAATTCATACAGTCATTTGAAAATCATCCTAATCTAATCCTTTATCGGAAACGAATCAATTTTTTTTCTTCTAATACCATCTCCGAATATAAACATCAACAACTTCAAATTGAATCGGTTTCTGGCCAACGAGAATACCACGCAAGTTACTAAGACACAATCAATTTAATTAAGTACAAATAGGTTTCGAGGAAATGAAATTAATGATGGGAAGAAGAAGAAAAAAAAAACTGCATCCTTTACGTAACCCCTCAGTCAAGTTATCTATCTATGTCCATTATTTTTCTCTCTGCTGTCCAACCTCTCTGTTATGGGATTATGGGTGAGATTTGTAGAGGCCGCAGAAGAAGAATGTTGAGGACCCGACGCGGCGGCGCGTTTCCTCCGCCACCAACATTTCTCGCCACCGGCTGCCTCCTCCTCCTGCTGATACTTGAGGATGCGTCGGCGGCGACGGAGTCGATGATGTTGGACACCGGAGGGCTGAGCAGACAGAGCTTCCCAAAGGGTTTCGTGTTCGGGGCCGCCACGTCGGCGTATCAAGTGGAGGGCATGGCCGACGGAGACGGTCGCGGGCCAAGCATTTGGGATGAATTCATTCACTCCAAACCTTGTATGCACTGATGGATTAACATGAGATATGCTTTCTTTTTTGTTTTTTTTTATGAATTTGTTTTAATGGAGTTCAATAGTTCCACAGGAAGGTACGGTAAATGCGTTATCATATTCGTATTATTATTACGCCAAAAATTTCAATCGTTCCGATAAATTCTTCTCTTTTTTTTTTGTGTGGTTCTTTCGATATATATATATATATATATATATACTTATTTTTCAACAATAATTTGGTCTAGTGGTACAATTACTAGTCTCTAAAACTGTTGTTGTGCAATATAGCAAGAGTGTCCGGCAAAGCTAACGCAGACGTTGCAGATGACCAATATCACCACTACAAAGTACGTATTTCTTTATTTTATTTTTGTCAATTTTAATGATTATATTTTAAATTCGGACTACTCTGTCTGAGATAGTTGTAATATAGAATTCAACACAGTTTTTTTAATAATTATAATAATAATAATAATATACACATATATAACGATGGTACATAAAAATTAATTATCTGCATGGGTACAGGAAGACGTGGATATCATGGCCAAGTTGAATTTTGATTCCTACAGATTTTCGATCTCATGGTCAAGAATCTTCCCAAGTAACACCACATATACTTGTTCATCTTTTTTAATCTAACATTCCTTCAATCTTCCTCAGCCTCGTGAGTCGCTGGGTAAATCTGCTGACACCGGTATACACTGTTAATATATCCACAGATGGAACTGGGAAGGTGAATGAGAAAGGAGTTGCTTACTACAACAGATTGATAGACTACTTGCTTGAAAAAGGTACGTTCGATTCGCGATAATGCAACTGATCAGCTCTGCTACTATGCTCATAAATTATCAATTGTATCGCGGTATATATATATTATGTCGTAGGTATCACTCCTTTGGTAAACGTATATCACAATGATTATCCCCTAGCACTCGATAAAAGATACAAGGGTCCCTTGGCCCGGCAATTTGTGTAAGTACTCGATCGATCGGTCTATTTGATTGCATATACATTCTTCACTTTTTTTTTCTCGTAGTTAATTTGGACTCTCTTTCTTTTTTTTTTTTTGTCATCTGGCAGGAAGGATTACAGCGAATATGCAGATTTTTGTTTTGCGACATTCGGAGACAGAGTGAAGAACTGGACGACGATCAACGAGCCTAGACCCATCGCTTCCCTAGGGTACGACGTCGGTTCGTTCGCTCCGGGGAGGTGCTCGAAGGCCATCTTCAACTGCTCCGCCGGAGATTCTGCAACCGAACCCTACATTGTTTCACACAACTTGCTCCTGGCTCATGCTGCGGCGGTCCATATCTACCGCAACAAGTATCAAGTCGGGCATCTTTTGCTCCTCCGTTCATTCCTATACCTAGCTAGCTTATTAACTTACTTCATACAGTGTCACTTTGACGAAACCACGTCTCATTACAGGAGAAACAGAAGGGAAGGATTGGGATTCTGCTCGATTTCCTTTGGTATGAGCCTCTCACCAGAGGGAAAGCTGACAACTACGCTGCTCAGAGGGCACGAGACTTCCATATTGGATGGTATGTAACTATGTATCGTACGTGTGAGTAGATGTGTCAAGAACCAGTTGCTCCCAATAACTCGAGTTGTTGGGAGAGGTTCAATCATGGATCATATACCACAACATTAACAAAACCCTTAGATTTCTCTTATGCTTGCTTATGCCATGGGGATGATCATCTTATTGTTTCTAGGTTTCTTCACCCCTTGGTCTATGGGGAGTATCCGAGAACGATGCGAGAAATCGCCGGCGAGAGGTTGCCGGAGTTCACGGCGGAAGAGGCGGCGACGGTGAAGGGCTCCTTCGACTTCATCGGCATCAACCAGTACACTGCTTACTATGTATCGAATGAAACTAAGGAGACGCCCAAGGAAATGACTAGCTACCAGGCCGACTGGAAAGCTAAATTTTCCTGTACGTAAGCAAAGCCTACTAATTAAGAGTGTGACTAATATATGTGCAATGAGGAATTTTTCATTGGCATAACAAGGATTGATGCACTAGCTAGATTCTTTAAATCTGTACTAAAATGTGGTTCCATTTCTGATGTTGCATGCAGTTGCAAAGAATGGAGTCCCAATTGGTCAAACGGTATAGTTCGTTATATATATACTCATCACTTTCTTTCTTTCTCAATTGATGAGAAACTACTTGTTTGGACTGAAAATAATAAATTACAATAGTTTTTTCACGATTGAACTTAAATGTTAAGAGGGACTAATAGATCTCATCCTATCACTTTCTAATGTTTTTATCAATATATACATGCATTATTACAAAACTAAGTTGAGGGGGGCTATAATCTGTTATGAACTACACGTAGCTCTTCCACTGCTTATCAGGGTGATGTAATATAATACCGTGAACGGTATGAAATCGTATCAAATCGATAAGATTTCGTATTTAGGTGGTAAATTAAGACACGAGACTATGAAGTATTATAGACTCTGCCCCTGATCCGCTCCAGAAATTATTTATATCATATATCGATTTAATTAATTAGTTTATTAATAAAACCGTAGCATATCCGAATATATATCTTCTCCATTTTTTTATAATAATAAAAAAACAAATCTTCACTTTTTTTTTGTTTTGTTTTTGTTTTTTTTTTTTTTTGCAGATCCCATCGTCTGTTTGGGTCATTGACGTGCCGTGGGGATTGTACAAATGTTTGATGTACGTGAAAGAGAAGTACGGCAACCCCACCGTCATCCTGTCTGAAAACGGTGAGCTCTGAAAATTTCGACAAGCTAGGGTTTGGAACGAAGAAAAAGAAACACTACCAAACGGTCGACAATACTAATATACAATGCTTCTACGTACGTACGTACGTACGCCGCCATGCATGCATGCAGGTATGGAGGAGCCTGCGAACGTGACGCTTCCGAAGGCACTGCACGACACGACAAGGATAAGGTACTACAAAGGTTACCTGAGGCAGCTGAAGAAGGCCGTCGACGACGGAGCCAACGTGGTCGGATACTACATCTGGTCGCTGCTCGACAACTTCGAATGGGCGACGGGTTACGATTCGAGGTTCGGGATCGTCTTCGTCGATCGGAGGGATAGTCGGCTCAAGCGGTATCTGAAGATGTCGGCTTATTGGTTCAAGAAGCTACTCCAGCGCTAGATATATATAGCTAGCTAGGCTCTGTATGTATATCAGCAGACAAAAAGAGAAAGCATATTCCTGTACTGACTGTTGAGAGAATGAATAATCAGAACCCTAATCCTCATCAACCTATTGAAGATTTGGAATCTTTTTTCTTAAATTTGATTTAATTGTCAATGACTTCACTCAAATACGCTTTTATTAAATTTTTTTGTTGGATTTGAATTGATCCAATTTGGATCGGATCCAAAACAACGAGTCTATTTGGATTCAGTTAATTGTACACAAAATAAAAAGAAAACAATATCAATCATTTCATTAACTTTCTTCAACCCAATTACGTTTTTAGTATTGGTGTTTTCCAAAAAAAATAACAGATAAAAGACTACATAAGAATTGGGTGTTATTTTTTTTTTAATATCCAATAATATAAATCTAATATCCAAATTAAAAAATTGGATATGAATATGATCTAAAAGTAAAATTAAACAAAAATTGAATTGACCTATATATAATAAGTTGGGTTTTATTGGTCTTTTTGCCATAGAGAAGCACATTTCACAGAGAAAATGACCAACAGGGAAGGACAGGTTTTCGTGGGCTGCTCAATTCCTTTGGGCCAACTTGTCATGCTTGAAGAAACACCATGGGCGGGCTGCTCATTTCATTCGGGCCCATTGGCCTATTAACCCCAAAATTTTCGGTGAATTAATTAACCATTACCCATAACGTTCATTTGAAACGTTTGCCCATGCATAGACGTACCATAAGTTCATATTTCATAACCGATCATGAAGTTGTAAGTTTCAAAAGCAATACGTTGGATCGAATATAGGCTTAATTAATTAATCGCAGCAGTTTAACATCATTTTCTTACCGTGCTTGTAGATTATACATGTTAAATAGTTTACCGTATGCATCATGGTTTTTGCTCCAGCCTTCTCCTTCCTCTCTATTATTCTGCCCGTTTTGATTTTTGGTTAGTTCTTCCTCGCTAATCGATCTTATACATTTCTTCAAAAAATTAACCCTATTTATGCAAATTTTCTACTGAGACCTTAAAATTTTCACCTACGAACCAGTTGTTGCTAGGTTTGAGTATGTGGCCGCTCTGTATAATTCATGCACCCTCTATAGGTTGACAAATTAAGCTACAAATCCTGATAAAAAAAAGAGAGTCACGAAATCAAGACGATGATGAACAACAATGACAGATCAATACTGAGGACCGCCGCCGGCAGATTCAGCAGACATGAATACAAGATCATGTTTGGAACCGCGACGGCCATGGCTTGCTTCATCTTTGTAGGAATTTTCAACATCTTTAGCGCCCATCCGCAAGGTCGGAATTGAACCCATGCATATGCCTTGTACAGACGTGACTAGCGTAGTACTATACATTATACGAAATACATCGTCGAACAACGTAACAATTTATCGTAATCCAGTTACTTACGTTTGCTCTCACATTTTAGTCTCATATTGATATTGATTTTTTCCTTTTCTTTTGCAGTGGATCTAAAGCCGTCTCATGTAGTTGCTGACGTGACTAACGAGAGTAAATGTTATGCAATATGCATTCTTATAAAAAAAAACTCATTAATTTATTCCAAGTACCTACTAAATTTTACGCTAGATTACATTTTGATCCCCAGAACTTCTGTTTCTTCTCCAGCAGGTTTAGGGCTTGTGCAGAAACGTCAGAACAAGGCCGTAACGCCGATCACATGCAGCAAGGGCGGAAGATCGGAGTTCTGCGACCTAAAAGGAGACATTCGAATCGACCCTTTCTCGCCAATCGTCTACTTCCTCGTCCCATCGGAGACGAACCCACTGATCATGGCGGCCAGCTACCTCCGCCCTCTGTCCTCGTTCACCGTCAAGCCGTACGGGAGAAACGACGACAATGTCGCCATGGCATCCGTAAGGCAATGGTCGATCCGATTGGTGCCGGAAAGCAACCCGAGCGTCCCCAATTGCACTCGAGTTCATGAGTCTCCAGGGGTTCTGTTCTCCTTGGGTGGATTCTCACTCAACTTCTTCCACGCCTTCACCGACGTCATCGTCCCGCTTTTCGCAACCGCGAGGCCTTTCAACCGCGACGCCGAGCTGCTCGCGACCGACTACCAACCGTGGGTGGCCTCCGTGCACAAAATCGTAACGCAGGCACTGTCGAGGTAACCATTATACGACGCTTTATTTTCATCTATCTTTTTCATTTTAACTTGTTGGTGTCGTAAATCAATTGGTCCTATAATATATCGTCGTTGTTGGGAAAGATCTCTGCTGAATGGATATTTACCACTTTCTTAACACGCTATTTCGAACGAAAGCCAACTCGTGATGATGGGGCTTGGATTTTTGCACACGGTACTCACTATACCATGTACTTTAAGCGGCAGCTTTTAACATTATGGATCGTGAAGATTCGAACACATGACCACCACCACTTGGTCGGTCAAATCTGCTGTGATACCGCATGTCAAAAACTAACTCGTGATCATAATTCGAATTTTTTTCTGGTTTATGACGACATGGCATCGACAGTGGCGTAGCCAGGATTATGTGTAAGGTGGGTCCAAAATTTTTTTATATTGCAAGAAAAGTATGAGTCATTGGCTCATTGCAGTGCCCCATTATGTGTTCTCATATATTGACGAACTTGCATCCATATGATATCGATGTCAATATATCCTATACAATAATCATTCATGATTTTGTCACCCATTAATTACCATGATTCGAAAAATAACTTCTAATTCTATATAGTTATAGACAATAGCTAGCATATATTCACGTCAAAATATACATATAATATTCTAGTTGAGGTTTAAAACCTTATATATTGAATTTATTATTAGGATAAAAATAATCTAGCGAGTTTCAACAAAATAAAATTTTGGCGATATATAATAAATAAACCTGAAATGGTTGAAGCACAATTAAACCACGTTTTCAACATAAAATATCCTACCATTGACTTATCCGATATAACTTTTGGTACGATTTTTAATCCTTATTATTTAGGCGTACATATTTTCTCCCGAACCAAGGTGGGTCCCGGGACCCACCTTAGTATGCACTGGCTCCGCCACTGGCATCGGAGCCGACTTGTTATTGAGATCATCATGTGTTCAAGTAATCACGCGACCTCCAATATTAACCGTTTTCTTTAAAGTATATGGTGCGTGGTAGCTAGACATGCACAAATAACTCGAATTGTTAAAACTTGCTTGTGATCACCCCGTCTTAAAACTTTTGAGCAGGTACAACGTAGTGAACATCGACGACGAACAAAAAAGCGGGAGAGAAACGCATTGCTTCTCGAGCCTAACCCTAGGGTTAAAAGGCCGCGGCCAAACTGAACTCAGCATCAACTCGTCGGAATCTAATTACCGCATGAGAGACTTCCAACAGTTCCTGAAAACCGCCTACAACCTCAAGAAAACAACCGCAATCAAACTCCAACGACCCGCCGCCTCCGCCGCCGCCGCCCGTCAAAAACCACGGCTTCTCATCATCTCCCGGATGCACAGTCGAACCTTCACAAACGTCGGCCAGATAGCGAAGCTGTGCAGGGACGAGCTCGGGTACGAGGTGACGGTGGCGGAGCCGTACGAGGACACGTCGAGGTACGCGCGGGTGGTGAACTCGTGTGACGTCATGGTGGGGGTCCACGGGGCCGGGCTGACGAACATGGTCTTCCTGCCGGAGAAGGCGGTGGTGATCCAGGTGGTGCCGGTGGGGCTGGACCGCGACTCGGCGGCGCTGTTCGGGGAGCCGGCGGGGGGATTGGGGGTGAGTTACTTGGAGTACAAGATAGGGAAGGAGGAGAGTAGCTTGATTGACAAGTTTCCGGCGGATGATGACGTTTTTGAGAAGCCGTGGGTGGTTGAGAAGCGAGGGGTGAAGGTGTTTAGGTCGATTTACTTTGATGGGCAGAATGTAACGCTTGATTTGGCGAGGTTTCGGCCCACGTTGTTGAAAGCTTTGGAGCTTTTGCGTCAATAATGAATTTTCTTCTTCTTGGAATGAGTTAGTTGATCACTTTAGTGGGATTCTTTAATTATGAGTTATTGGTTACTAAATTCGGTAGATGTAATCTAGTGTGTTTATTTCTTTAGTTTTAAGCGAGCAAGCTAGAACTTTGATTGAAGACGGGGGAAAAAAAAAAAAAAACGAGCCCTCTCCTCCCCATCGTGGAAAGTGGGATCGGAAAAATCGCAGAGTTGCGCCTCGCCGTAACTGGCCACTCTGCCACTGTGCGGTGCCGGAATCGGCCGTGCCTCCATGGAGGTTATAAAACCCCCACCCTGGGGCATTCGTTCCTCATCGATTCTCCGATATTGTGCTCCATTATCCCTCCCCGTGATTATCCTTTGTGCCGTATCTCGTCGCGATTTCACAGTCATGGCTGCTGTCAATAGAGTTGTCTTTGGCGATGAGGATGTTGCCGCTGGCGCGATTCGTAGGGACCTCTCCCTTCTTGGCTGTGTGATTGGAGAGGCTCCATCGATTGTACATCTACAACACACGCTGGGTAGGTTATGGCGGTGCCATGGTGCGCTGTCGATCAGCCCGGTGGGGGACGGCCTGCTGCAATTCACGTTCCCAACAGTGGAGGATCGCGATCGGATTCGAAAGCAATCCCCCTGGTTCCTCCCCAAATTCTTGGTCAATTTAGTGCCATGGGTGACGGTTACAACAGAAGTTGCGGATCAGCTGTGGCGTGTACCGCTAGGGATTCACTTCTGGGAAGTACCTTTCGACTGCTGCACTAAGAAGATGGTCATTCTCCTGGGTCAGGCTTTGGGGAGGACTTCCTCCCCGTCGGTTCATCGCATCCCCGAAACGGGGGAGATCTACCTCAGGGCCGAAGTGGGGATCGACAGGCGTTTCCCCCTTCCGCTCTCGGTGCCAGCTGCTCATGAAAAGCCTGAGCGGGGAGAGTTTGAAGCGGTGGTGAAGTACGAGCGGCTTCCACAGTTCTGCTTCCTCTGTGGAATATTGGGGCACATCGACCAGGCTTGCCCCCGTCGTGAGGAACTTGATGCTGCTGATCGGATTTATGGTGGTCACATTTTGGTTCAATTGAAGGGGCCGAAGGTCAATGAACATACCCTGCTGCGCAAGAGGATGTTCACCTGGGTGCGAAAGGTTGACAGCAAGGCTGAGGGTGAGCAGCCGTACCTCCTTCAGGGGGTTGGGCAAACTTCCAACAGCAAGCAAAGGACCAGGGATCTAGTCCAGGATGGCCAAACAACCTCTCCGTCCGCGAAGCGTCCCAGGCAGACTGATATGGTGTTCGATCCTCAGTCTGATTCCGGAACAATGGTGGTGGCTACCAGCCAGAACTGGGCCCAAACGCCCAGATGAGCATACTGGTTTGGAACTGTAGGGGATTGGGCTCGACCCTTACGGTTCCATCGTTGGTCGGAGTCGTTCATCATTTCTCGCCGGCTGTCCTCTTCCTTAGTGAGACCAAGAGAGATGATGAGTTTGTCAATAAGAAGCTTCTGCGTCTAGGATTTTCCTTTGTACATTGTGTCTCTCCTATTGGTAGTTCTGGTGGATTAGCAGTAGCCTGCTCTTCTAGTGTCCTTTGTCGTGTCGTAGCCGAGTCGTCAGCCTTTATATTTGTTGAGTGTCAGCATGTTGTTTGGGGAGTTATGTCCTTCGTTTTCGTTCATTTGCACTACGATGTACAGTTAAGGGTTGCTCAGTTTAATGAAATCCTTTCGTTGGTCTTGTCTTGTGCTTCTCCCATTGTAGTGATAGGTGATTTTAACTGCCTACTGTTTGCTTCTGAGAAACAGGGTGGGCGGATCCCTTCTTTCCATGCTATGGAACACTTTCGTTCCTTTCTTGAGTCGGCAGGGCTCATGGACTTGGGATTTAAAGGAGCTCCCTTCACCTGGTCAAATCGACAGGGAGCGAGTTCTCATATTCTTGAGAGATTAGACAGGGGACTTGCTAATGAGAACTTGCTTGATGTCTGGCCTTCCTTGCAGGTGTGTCACTTAACCGATTTGGGCTCCGATCACCGCATGTTGTTACTGCAATTCATCCCGGATGCCGGCAAGGGGAAGCCTCGGTTCCACTTTGACCGGAGGTGGTGCTGCAATGAGGAAGCGCGCGTGATTATTGCCCATGAATGGCAGGCGGTTTATGCAGGCACTCCTCAGTTCCAGCTGTACTCGACGCTGAAGGCCACTAGGCACCAATTAGTCGATTGGGCGAGAAAGGGCACATCAAACTCGGCTCGACTTATCCGTGAGCTTAAGGCTGCCATAGAAGAGGAGCGAGATCAGGCAAGTATTGATTGGGAGACGATTAAACAACTAGAAGTTCAGCTTGCCGAGGCCTACCGACAGGAGGAATCATACTGGATTCAGAAATCGCGGGTGGATTGGCTTCAAAAAGCAGATACTAATACCGGATTCTTCCATGCCAAAGTCCGACAGACAAGGCGAGCTAACCGGATTGAGCTCCTTCGCGACGAGAATGGTGGGGAGCACTATGACGAAGCTAGCAAAGGCAATGTGGCTGTTTCCTTCTACCAGCAACTCTTTACGACATCTGCGATTCCGCCACACTTCCTCATCAATGCGCTTGGGCTTCCCTGCAAGGTCACGGCTGAACAGAACCTGCTGCTTACTGCTCGAGTCTCTCCTGAGGAGATCAAGGAGGCCGTCTTCAGTATAGGGCCGAACCAAGCACCGGGGTCGGATGGTTTTACGGCGGCATTTTTCCAGTCGTCTTGTGAGGTAATTGGCCATTCAGTCCTGACAGCAGCCTTGTCTTTCTTCCGATCGGGCCGGCTACTTCATAACTTCAACCACACACTCCTCACGTTAATCCCGAAGGTGCCGAATGCGGATCTAATGAAGCAAATGCGGCCTATAGGGTTGTGCCAAGTGTTCTATAAGGTCATCGCTAAAGTTTTGGCGATGAGGTTGAATCAAATATTGCCATCGGTTATCAGTGAAGCGCATAATGGGTTTGTGAAAGGCAGGGACATATCGGATAATGTACTTATTGCCCAAGAAGTAATGCAATTCCTCAAAACGAAGACTCAGGGTCGGGATAAGTGGATGGCAGTGAAGCTTGACATGGAAAAAGCTTATGACCGGGTGGAATGGGGGTTTCTATTCGCGGTAATGGCAGCGTTGGGTTTTGAGGATCAGTGGCTGGAATGGATGAAAGCTTGTGTGACCACAGTATCCTTTTCTCTTATTCTAAATGGGTCGGAACACGGATACTTCAGACCTCAGCGGGGCATTCGGCAGGGTGATCCTTTATCCCCCCTGCTCTATGCCGTCTATTCCGAAGCCTTTTCCTCGATGATTGATGCTGCCATCTCCTCGAATCAGCTTCACGGCTTGAAAGTTCACCGGCACGCTCCCACTATATCCCATTTGCTGTTCGCCGACGATTCCTACATCTTTTTGCGGGCTTCATCAACCGAATGCACTTCTCTTCTCCATCTCCTCGGCCTGTACGAACAGTCCAGTGGAGCAAAGGTTAATCTCTCTAAATCCTCTGTATATTTTAGTGCTAACGTCACGGACCAGGAGGCGATTTCTTTATCTGGGCAGTTAGGGATCTCGGCTATCGGACCTTTGGACAAGTACCTTGGACTTCCTGCTCAGGTCCAACGATCCAAGGTGCTTACTTTCCAGTATGTAGAAGACGCCCTTGCAGGGAGGATTCGAAGTTGGAAGTCCAATGCCCTATCTCTGGCGGCTAAAGAAGTGATGATTAAGGCAGTGGGGTCGGCTACTCCGGTGTACACGATGCTATCGTTCAGGCTGCCCTCCACAAGTTGTCGTCGATTAAATAGTCAGATTTCCAGATTTTGGTGGGCAGGACAAGACAAAGAGAGGGGTATCCCATGGATTTCTTGGCCGGCAGTGTGCACTAGCAAATTTGAGGGGGGACTTGGGTTCAAGGACTTTGATCTGTTCAATATCGCCATGCTAGCCAAGCAAGCGTGGAAGCTCGTTCAGAATCCCTCGTCCTCCTTGGCGCGAATCTATAGAGCCAGGTATCATCACAATTCTTCCTTCCTCAAGGCACCGGTGGGATCCCACCCTTCCTGGGCATGGCAAGGAATTTTAGAAGGGAGGAAATTGCTGGCCAAGGGGCTTCGGTGGCAGGTGGGGTGCGGCACAACGATCGACATTCTGCAGGATACTTGGCTGCCCTCATCGCCACCGTCTACTCCGAAACTACTGGATGGTGTGAACCTCGACAACCCCTATGTGGCGTCCCTCATCCATCCCTTAACAAGATCGTGGAACGCTGACCTTCTATGTAGGCTTTTTCAACCGGACAGCGTACGATGGATTCTATCTATACCGCTGCCTTCCTCCCCAGTCCCGGACAAACTCATTTGGCACTATTCGCCAACTGGAATCTACACCGTCAAGTCCGGATACCAGCTCCTTTCAGCGTCGAGATCAGCCTCCTTCGCACCAGTCTCGCCATATTTGGACACCAAATTCTGGAAGCTAATGTGGAATCTCCCCATGCCGCCAAAATTGAAGTTCTTTCTATGGAGGCTTGTTCGCGGATTTCTTCCGCTACGGGCAGTGTTGAAACAAAAAACCCTTTGTGATGATGATGTTTGTCCTATTTGTTCGGAAACAGCTTGAGTCAATATCTCATTGCTTTTTCAATTGCAGGATCGCTCGAGACTTATGGGAGCTTGCTGGGAAGGATCACATCCGCCGGGCAGTTTGCAATCTCCACCCAGCTGATGCTTGGCGACATATTTGTTTTGAGCTGCAGCTATCTAAAGTTCAGATTGCGGAACTTGTCTTCATCTCCTGGCGATTGTGGAAAGCGAGATGCTGGACGGCGTATGACCTAAAGCAATTTTTGCCGGTTGCCCTCCATCGTCAATTTTCCTCTCAGATCAGCGAGTGGACAGCAGCTACGGGGAATGCGGCTTCCAATAGCACAGCAGGTCGGCGTCAAAGTAGACAGCCCATGCCGGTGGTCTGCCCACCGGGCGGCCTCCTGGTACGGTTCGATGGTGCCTTCCGCAACGACGTTGGAGGTAGCACGGGTTTCGTGGGATTTGCGGAGGGATCGTCGCTGGTATGTGCATATGGGAAGTTCTATCCAGGTTTGGCTGATCCTTTCCTTTATGAACTCCTAGCCCTCCGGGATGCAATGGTATGGTGTTTATTTCATGGGTTCTCTAATGTGTGTTTCTGTGGTGATTCGCAACTGGTGATTCGGCGAGTGTCGGCGAATGATGTTCACCATGATTCGGGTGGGGCGATCTTGGAGGAGATGCGGCTGCTGAAGTTGAACTTCCAGAACATTATCTTTGTTTTTGCTCCTCGTAGGACTAACAGGGCTGCCCATTTAGTGGCAAAAACGGCCCTTGCATCGGTAGCTCGACAATCGGTCGACTACCGCTATTTACTTTTTCATCAAGTGTAACCAACTGTCTATCTACGATCTATCTATGGCAAAAAAAAAAAAGCGAGCAAGCTAGCTAAGCTAATGTAATAATTGGTTTATTTATTGAGATGGTATCAAAGTCTTCCATCAAGAGGTCTCGTGTTCGAGTTCTTACCATAACAATTTAAGATGAAACCAAATTATTTAATGTCATTCTTGTTATGAGATCGAGCCAACAAATGCATATACACTACAAAAAAAAAACAGCTGAAGTGACAATTTAAAACTCAGTCAAATTGTCATTAAAAGGTAGAAAAATGTCACAATAGCGTTGTACTGACGTTTTACATAAATGTCACATAAATGTCACATAATCTAGTGTCACTAACTTCTTTTGTGACATTTGTTACAATTGTCAGTACCACTTTTGTGTGACGTTTATTTTACATATTGCGACACTTATAATCGTAGCATAATAACATCTTTTGTGACATTTTAAAGCGTCGTAAGTGATGCAAATAGTGACATTTCTAGAGACACATCAAACTGTTATAGTTAATACCAATAGTGACATGTCTTGTGACATTTCAATATGTCATAGCCCATCTCAAAAGTGACATTTATAAGGACATGTTAATATGACACGATTGATACAAATAGTGACATTTCTCGAGGCATTCATAATTGTCACAGTAGATCCCAATAGTGACATTTCTAAGGACATATCAAAGTGTCATAGTAAATACATATTGTGACATTTCTCAGGACATTCCAAAGTGTCATGGTTGACACCAATGGTAACATTTACCGCGACATTTCCATATGTTATAGCCCATCTCGATAGTGACATTTTTAAGGACATGTTAATATAATGATACTTCGCTCGTGACATTTCTCTAAATGTCAGACAAGCAACACTTGTAGATGTCACCGTTACATGTCACAATCTATATGCTATGCTGACACTTCACTAGCTACACTTCTCTAAATGTCAGACAAGCAACTAAGCTATTGTGACATTTAGTTATGTGACTAGCTTATATCACAAATACTTCTTTATTTTGACACTTTTTAGTTGACACTTCTCTAAATGACAGAAAAACGTGTTTATTGTTGTGACAATTGAAGATGACAACATTAAATGTCACAATATATATGCTATACTGACACTTTGCTCATGACACTTCTCTAAATGTCAGACAAGCAACTAAGCTATTGTGACGTTTGGTTACGTGACCAATTTATGTCAGCAATACTTCTATATTTTGACACTTTTTTAGTGACACTTTTCTAAATGACAGAAAAACGTGTTAATTGCCGTGACAATGGAAAATGTCAACGTTAAATGTCACAATATATATGCTATACTAACATTTCACTCGTGACATTTCTCTAAATGTCAGACAAACAACTAAACTACTGTGACATTTAGTTATGTTACCAACTTATGTCACAAATACTTCTCTATTTTGACACTCTTTTAGTGACACTTTTCTAAATGACAGAAAAACATATTTATTACTACGACAATCGAATATGTCAAAATTAAATGTCACAATAAATATATTATATTGACACTTACCATAAATGCCACAAAAACCTTCAAAGTGAATGGTTTTACTGACATTTTTTGAAACTGTCTTTAAAAACATGTCACTATAGTTGGTTTTTTTTGTAGTGATATTAATGAATTCTAATGAGTTTGCGTTTGCGGATGATTTATTATTTTCTTTCATTATTATTTCAGAACTTTCGGTTAATTATTATTAATTGTTATTTTAGTAAGATCGATATTTCATTTTCATTCTTGTTAGGAGTTGTGTATCAATTCCTTCTCAGATTAGTCATATTTGAGTAAGAAATATTGGAAAGGGTGGCCGACGGTGTAGAGGCCAGAGGGGAAAGGGGGGGAGGTGTAGCCTAAAAATATGATTAATGATGTGATATATAATTATATAAAACTGGTTGATCTCAAGAATTTGAGTGGTTGAAAGAGATTCAATTATAAATCATATACCATTTATTAACACTCTTCTCAAACGAAATTCAGTCCCGATGGGTTTAAAATTTGCACATGAATCAGAATTCAGAATGCTGCTTGCTTAACTAATAAGGTCACAGGAATTTGCATATAATACATTTCGGTCACCGGATGTTGTGATATATACTATGTAAAGAACCAATTGATCTTAATAGTCCGAATTATTGGAAAAATTTCACTTAAAGATCATATACATGATGGTGAAACACTAGAACCTTAATTAAAACTGCACTTCCAAAAACCGTGGAACTTACAGGCATTTAATTACTAGAGTTTATTAAACCCATTCTAACAGTTGCTGAAAAAAGAGGAATAATGTTGGATTCTACTAAAACGTTTATAAAAAGAGAAAACAGACAGCAAGAACTGGCTAGCAAGTTAAGTAATTACACGTTTTAAAATGAATAAAACGCCCAGGTGGGAAATGATTAATCAATCTGATCGAGGTTTACTTACGTACACTGATAAAACAAAGAGAGAAGGAAAGAAGAAGAAAGCTCCTGATATTGGTTGGAGTAGTTTTTCTTTAAGAAAAAATGGGAATTTTGGTGACAGATACGACCTATTTGTTGGTTGTTATTATGGTACTCTTCCTCGTAACTGAGATGGGGATGGCCGGAAAATGGAGTCCCTCCGGCCGACCTGACCGTAATGTTAGTCGAGCACAGTTTCCTCCAGATTTCCTCTTCGGAGCCACCTCCTCGTCTTATCAGGTGATCGTTTTTTCCCTTTCGTCTCTATTTCCTTTGACGTGTAGTACTAATTTCCATTTCTTGTATAACAAGTTATAAGGTGTCGGAAATTGAACCCTTGATCTCTTTGACGTAACCCTAGTAGTTCCGGTAGGGTTTCGAATTTGTATATTCAGCTGATAGAATTTGTATGCACAGTATGAAGGAGGAACATGGGATGATGGTAGGCGTCCTAGTATATGGGATGCTTTCACTCATGCCTATCCAGGTCTGTCTCCCTCCCTCTCTCGAAACGAATTGTTCGAATTTGGTTGCGATTTTTCTGTTATATTTCGAGTGTTATTGATACTTCATTTTAAAATAATTAAGTAGGGTTATTTTATGATAATAGAAGAAAAAAAAATCTAGAATATGTGTGAGTGCACATGATATGAGCTTTCAGAATATGTTGATGAATATGGCAGAACGTATACTCGATAGAAGCAGCGGGGATGTGGCTACAGATTCTTACCATTTATATAAGGTAAGCATATATATATATATATTGGAGAAATACCAATTTTAATTTTGCATCGTATGACAAGGTATCCTCTTATTCCACCTCCTAACTCGCGGTTATTGTTACGTCCATGCTGCAGGATGACATATCGCTTGTGAAAAACTTGGGGATGAACGCTTACAGGTTTTCGGTCTCGTGGTCCAGAATACTGCCGTGTAAGCAGCTTTCATTTAACTTGTCCTTATTTCCGTAATAATTTTTAGAAGTTTTTTTTTTCTCCGATTGAAATGGTAAGAAATTTTGGATATTGTAATTCCTTTTTGTAGATGGGAAGCTAAGTAGAGGTATCAACCAAAAGGGGATCCATTACTACAATAGTGTCATCAATGAGACCCTATCACAAGGTTACTCTCAACTTAAGTTTTTTAATTACAAACTCCGCGCTGATTTTTGTTATTTAGATGGTATTCTTATTCATTATCATACAATTTAAAGTTAAGATAATTCTCACCAAAAAAAAAAGTTAAGATAATTGAAAATTATATGATAACCCAGTCCATAGCTGTGGTTGCTGCTGAAGCGAGCCGGCCGGGCCTAGATAAAGTGATCCAGACCATTGGGCTTCTCGCCACCGGCCCAACTTCCTACATAATGATTTTCATCCTAAAGCTTACAGCCTACGTGCGTGCATGCATGCATGTGTTTAAGACTTAATGTTGATTTTATAGGGTTAACACCATTTATGACTCTCCTCCATTTGGACTATCCTCAAGCACTTCAAGATGAATACGGCGGCGTATTAAGTCATCGATTTGTGTAAGTCATTCCTTTCCTTCATCCAAAATCAATTGATTCGGCGACAATTCATGAATTTTGAATGATGAAATTCCCTGATTTCCTTTTTCAACCTAATTCCATCACAGGGATGATTTTCGGGACTTTGCTGATTTGTGCTTCAAAGAATTCGGGGACAGGATCAAGCATTGGGTCGCGATAAACGAGCCACATACTCTGAGCCGAGGAGGGTTCGCCGTCGGCGACCTCGCGCCAGGCCGGTGCAGCGGCAATGCAAGGAACTGGACGTGCGATGTCGGAAATTCCGGCACCGAGCCCTACATCGCAGCTCACAACCAGCTTCTCGCCCATGCTGCTGCCGTTCAATTGTACAGGCAAAAATATCAGGTTCCTTAATTTCTTCCAGTTTCCGGCACCTTGCCGAAACCATCATCACTTACGTAAAATTTATATTGCAACATTTTATAACCGTCACATAAAATATACATATATTACGTAATGAATGTTGAATTTTACGTAAAAAAAGTCCGTATGACTTGACATTTGTAGGCGACTCAAAAGGGCATTATTGGAATCTCATTGAATATAGATTGGGCTGAGCCCTACACGTCCAGCAAGCGAGACCGAAAAGCAGCACAAAGAGCCATTGACTTCGATTTTGGCTGGTAAGAGCATCTCCATCAATGCAATTGCAAAAAAAATTGCATTTGTATTTTCTATTTTTAACTTATTTTTTTTGCAATCCACATCACATTCATTTCATTCACCTACATCAATGCAATTAACTTGCAATTGCAAATGTAATTAAATATTATGTTTAAATTATAGAAATTTAAGTAAAAGAGAGAAGAAAATAATATAAAATAAAAAAATCCCCATTTTTTTAGGCTTTTTTGACTTGCATATGGAATTGCATTTGTTGCAAGTTTGCAAATATGCAATTGGTAGCCACATCAATACAATTGGTTTTGCAATTGCAAACACATATGCCATGTCATTTTGCAATTGAGAATGCAATACCAATGTGGATGCTCTAATATGAGCTATTTTCAAGCAACCGTTGATTTCCTTTCTTTTAAGGGAAACCCTAATTAACAACTACGCTTCGAAAAGGCTTGACGTATATAAAACCCATGAAAAAACGACGATTCGTGTTTATTTATCTTATATTTGGGAGAAAAAAACAGGTTCATGGATCCAATAACGAAAGGCGATTATCCAGAGAGCATGAAGCAGAATCTTGGGAACCGGCTGCCAAGATTTACAAACGAGGAATCTGAACTGTTGAAAGGATCATTTGATTTCCTCGGTGTGAACTATTACACTGGCAGATACGCGATGGATCAACCTAACAGTAACGTTGACCCTCGTCAATCTAGTTATTTGACCGATGCGCTTATCAACACTAGTAAGTTGAAAATGCCAACATTCAATATGACATAAGGGCAAAAATAAATAAATAAATAATTGATTGATCGAATTCGATTCTAACGTTATTGTCAACGACTTGGTCTGCAGGTTATCGCAATAGCAAAGGCGAACCACTTGGTCCTGAGGTAAGTTGTAACATTGTAGCTAGTACTAAATTATGAACAAACAAAAAAAAAACTTTTAATTAGTTATAAAAAGTAATTAACGTTGTTGCAGACTGCTGCACCTTGGGTTAGAATTTATCCTGCAGGGCTCACTAAGGTTTTGCTCTACATAAAGAACAAGTATGGGAATCCCCTCGTCTACATTACAGAAAATGGTAATTAAATACTTATCCTAAAAAGATTTTACAAAATTGTAAATACTTATTTCTAACCTTGTTACTCTGAATTATGGCTTCTGTCACTGATTACAATGAATGATTTTTTTTTTTGCAGGAGTTCCAGATCTAGGGAACTATACGCATTCGCCACTGAAAGCTACACCAAATGATAACATCAGAGTTTCCTTTTATCAAGCACATCTTTCTTCAGTATTAAAGGCTATGAGGTAAATATATTCATTAGTAAAATCTGTTCTTGTGGTGAACTCCAAAAATGTGGTGGTTTAAAAATTGCCTGCAGGAAGGGAGCCAATGTGAAGGGATACATGGTGTGGGCGTTACTAGATAACTTCGAGTGGCTTACAGGCTACACGATCAAATTCGGGTTGTACTACGTCGATGTCAGGAATCCGTCTGTCAGGATTCCTAAACTCTCGGCGCTGTGGTTCAGAAAGTTTCTGAAAGGAAATGATCGTCGTCGCTTAAGAATGATAGAAGTCGACGCCAACTAAAAATGGATTGGGGGATAGAAATTTTTTTTCTTCTGAATTTTATGTGTATCCAAGAGAATGATATGAGATAGCATTCTATTGTCGAATTGCATTTTTATAAGAATGCTAATGGCGAGCTAATGGACGATGATTGATCATATACGTAGAAAATTCAAAGTGAATGGATGGCCATTAAGAGCTTGCTCGAGTTTTTATCTATCTTATCTCAGCTAGCTAGCCTTTTTTCAAGTTTTCTACTGATGTATGTCTTTGCCTACCAAATACTCCGGTTTCTAAAAGCTCACCCATATTATTATTTCGAATATATGAAGCGCAAGTCAATTTTAATGTTCCTTTAAAGAAAGAGTCTCTGATACCACCTTGAGCTGGCCAAGTATGACCAACCCTTTTAATTTCCTCCCTAACTTATTTGCGCTCCATCTTTTTGAATCAACAAAAAAAACCGTTTTGATATGAAATAAAGAGACTCGACCACTAGCGCCTACGATCAGGGCTACAAATAAATTAAATCCAAAAAGTTGACGAATCTCACAACTGTTACTCTTTTTTTACAGTGCAACACGAACTTATAAGAATTTCATCAGATTATTAGTCGTAGTTAATTGAGTGGATCTGTAATTTTCTAACCAAAACTATAACAAAGAAGTCATACTTCAAGGAGATTGAACAAATTTGCATAGATCAACAACATCATCCCGTCGCGACACGTAGTTGGTCTAGTTATTGAGCACTTCTACTATGCTATATAGTATTGGTGCTTTAATGTACAACTTGAAGTTGTACCATAACATTAAATGTACAAGTTTAGGTTGTACCATAAAGGAATTTGTATCATTATGTTATGGTACAACTTTACAACTTGAAGTTGTACCATCACATAAGGTACAAGTTTAAATTGTACCATAAAAGAATTTGTACAAAAAGTATAGGTACAATCTGAAGTTGTACCATAACATTAAAGGTACAATTTCAAGTTGTACCATAAAAGTAAAAACCTATAGCACCAATGCTATATAGAATTGTAAAATTCCTCCTAGTTATTAGAACAACAATGTTGTGAAATATTTTTTTTATTAACATACAAATTCAGTGAGTTATTTCCCCTGGGGAAACGCCATAACTCCAAGTCTCCAACTCCACACATTAAATAATAGACAATAATTCATTATATAAAAAAAAACTAATAGACAATTCACTTCTTACGGTTCTTTAAAAATTTGTACGCTGGAGCTGTTATACAGGAAGAGCTCAGAGACTGGTTGATAAATCCCCTCTTGAAAAGGCGAAGAAAAAGGAAAACCCCATTTAGCCGAAGACCGCCACCAATATAATTAGGGAAGATGTCGTCGGCGCCGTTCATCCTGGTCGTATTGACCGCCGTGATGACAATGATGTTTGTACGGAAAACATCATGTTACAAATACCACTACCACGCCGCCAAGCTCCGAGATTTTACGGCCAAAGCCGACAAGATACTGGCCGCGCCTCCGTCGTCTCCCGCCGTCCGTCCTCCTCCGAGGGTACGTACAATCTGAAATTTCGGCTGCATAGAGATACGAAAATGAAAAACGACGAATCTGAAGTTTACGCACGTGCTCATTTGATTACAGGTTGGCGGAGTGTTTTACCCGATCGGGTACGGAGCAGATCCCACAGGTCACAACGACAGCGCCGACGCGATACAGAGCGCGTTGAACGACGCGTTCGAGCAACTGAGCGATCCGAGCCAGGAATTGATGCCCGGAATTAAGGACCTGGGCGGCGCCGTCATCGACCTCCAAGGCGGCAAGTACAAGATCGGCAAGCCCATCTCCTTCCCACCTGTCGGCGGCGGCGACATCCTCGTAACTGACCTGTATCTAAACCATCGTTTTTTTTAGTTAAAAGTATTAAGATGTGTGTGTTTTTTTTTTTTTGCAGATAAAAGAAGGGAGTTTGCGAGCGGCGGAAGGTTTTCCATCGGACCGTTTTCTGGTGGAGTTACTGTTCCCGCAATCGGAGATTCTGATAAACAAAACGGAGAATGTGTCGTTGTTGCAGGGCACCACGATCTTCTATGAGGACATAACGTTCAGAGACCTCCTCTTCGACTCGGGGCACAGCGGCGGCGGCCTACTGGTGGTGGACACCGCCAGGGTCCGAATCCTTAACTCCTACTTCTTCAACTTCACGACGCAGGGGATTTTGGTGCAGGGCGGTCACGAGACCTTCATCCAGACCTGCTTTATTGGGCAGCACCCCACCGTGGGACGTGACAAGAACGAAAGGTAACATTCGTAATTAACTTTCTTCAAAACAACTCGTGCCAGTTGTTTGAACAAACTGGTTTACGATTTATGACATAATACCAGAACTTTGACTGAACGCGTGGTTTATGGTTTACCCGTGACAGGTACTACTCAGGCACGGGGATCGACCTGGCGAGCAACGACAACGTGATCACCGACACGGTGATCTTCTCGGCGCGGGTCGGGCTCCTGGTGAGGGGCCAGGCCAACGTCATCACGGGGCTCCACACCTACAACAACAACAACAAGTCGCGCCACTCCGCCGCCGCCGCCGGCGTCCTGCTGAAGTCGGACGCGAGCTACAACCGGATCACGGCCTCCTTCTTCGACGGCAACAACAACCAGGTGGTGGTGGAGGACCCTTACTTCGTCCACATCACGGGCAACTTCTTCTTCGGGCACGCCAACGTGGTTCTGAAGCCGGCGAAGAGGGACGGTGGCGCCATCGCGCTTGTCGTCGTCGACAACTACTTCGTCGGGTTCGCCGGCGAGCCCATGGTGGAGCTGCAGGGGGAGTTCACGACGGTCCACGACGTGGTTGTGGACCAGAACCAGGGGAAGTACCTGACCGTACAGTCCACGGCGGCGAAGGTGACGGTGGCAGGGAGAGGAACGAAGTGGGTTGCTGATTTTAGCAAGAAGTTGGTGTTTCCTAACAAGATCGACCATTTTCAGTACTCGTTCTTGGTGAAGCAGCAGCGGCCGGCGGAAGGGTGGGGCGGGCCTAGGTTTCCGATCCACGCGGCGACGAACGTGTCGGGGAATGTGGTGGTGGTGGAGAGCGAGGACGTGGTGGACGCCGTCGTTTCGGTGGTGGTGGATCAGTTCAATCCCATTGGAGAGGGGACTTTTGCATTTGACGGTAACGGTGAAGGATATAAGGTTCTGCGTAAGGTCGTGTAGAAATGAAACACGAGGGGGTTGTATAGCTTCCGTGTTCAATCAAGATTAAAACTAAGAATTTTTTATTGAGAAAAAAAAATAATGTAACGGTGACAAAGAATTAAGAACAGAAAACAATGGGTTTTTTTTTTTTGGAAAAGGCTGATGAGCTTTGATTCTTCATACACTCATTTGTATTTCATTTCGGCAACATTTTTTTTCTTATCAAATGGAAGACATTCCAAGTCTTTTATAGGCTGGACATCAAATTCAAGAAAAAAAAAACAAAAGTTGAAACAAGTACAACAATCACTTTTCTTGTCTCCTAACAACATAAAAAGGGGCATTGACATTTGACACCTGCTGCACCCTCAATTGTGGTCCCAAAAGAGATGCATTGGAAATGGACTGAACTGAATCAGTTCTTCACTTCTTCCTTTATAGTACTAAGTTCTAACAATTAATCAAATTGCCTTAAAAATTAATCGAATTTAAATTGTTAATGAGAATGGCAATCGATGATAAATCAACGTACGAGAAGCAAGAAAGTTGAAATAAATTAGTAACTAACTAGGATTGGCTAGCTAATTGCTTTCGTTTTGGGTCGCTCCTTATGAGTTATGAATACAAAAAATATATTAATTTATGTCTTCATAAAAATATTAAAAACAAAACTAGCGTTGGCTAGCCCTTCATTTACATAATAGTATTTTCATTCTTATAATATCGTAATAATTAAAATAGTGAACCATTAAATCAATCAAATCAGGATTATTGTTCATCCTATTCAACTATTTTGGATGATCAAATAAGTTTTGACCCTAGGACAAAAAGAAGATAGAACATTATTATTGTCACGTTATTTGTTGATAAGTATTTACCCAATATTTCGTATATCTATCTGCCCGAAATTTGAAAGTGGTTGTATTCATTAAAAATGAAAGTGGCTGTTATATATTATTCTCACATTAACACTAAATCAGCCAATCAAAATATACTAATTGATCACAATCATATTTCTTATATCAACGTACTAGCCTTGGCATGACGATGAGTTCTCTCATTTATTATATCATTGGGGAGTTCTTTCTCATGCGAGAAAAAAACCCCGTCATAACTCCAAAATTTCGAATGTTACTCGCATTCAATGATAATTCACCTACTTATATTCATAAATAAACCCGAAAAACGCCGGATGTGTTATACAAAAGGAGCTAGTTGCCATGACCGACCGGACAATTGCTCAAACTCCCCCTCTTTAAAGGATTCCAGTAAAGGAAAGAAGAAGCAAAAAAACGCCGTAGCCTTTATTTTAGAAAGAATGCCGGCGACGGCGTCGGCCTTGACGCGATTCGTCATCCTAATTGTATTCAGCTCAGTGCCGTTAATATTTCTTACGCCACAGACTTCATGTTACGAATTCGAACGCCGACATTCTGCCAAGCTCCGGCATTTCACGGCCAAGATCGACAGAATAGTCTCCTCATCCAAGCCTTCCACTTTCGTCCGGCCTCCACCTCAGGTGACTGATGACGGATCATTTCAGCGAAATTTTAACGATATAACATTTCTGGTCACATACCTATAAATACTAAATACTTCATTATCAAAAAAATAAATACTAAATACTATACTTACTACGTGTTTATGACGTACGTATTTTATGCGTTCAAAATTTTCGTACTATTGACAGACCGTTTCATTTTTTTTTTCTTGTTCATGACTCTGCTACTATATCCGTATGTCCGTTTAATATCCGTATTTAATGATTACAGGTCGGCGGAGTGTTCTACCCTGTTGGATACGGAGCAGATCCCACCGGCCAAAACGACAGCACCGAAGCGATACAGAAGGCGCTAAACGACGCATTCCAACAACGTAGTAGCGATCCAAACCTGAAGGAAGAGCTGATCCCGGGAATCAAGGACCTGGGCGGCGCTGTCATCGACCTCCAAGGCGGCGCGTACAAGATCAGCAAGCCCATCTCCTTCCCACCTTCCGGCGGCGGCGGCCTCCTCGTCAAAGACGGCAGCCTCAGAGCCTCGAGAGGGTTCCCAGCGGACCGCTTCCTCGTGGAATTACTCTCGCCGAAATCGGAGGTGCTGATCTACAAAACAGATGACGTGGCGGCGTACCAGGGCAACGGAATCTTCTACGAGGACGTGAGGTTCAAAGACGTCCTCTTCGACTCCGGGTTCAGCGGCGGCGGAGTCCTGGCGGTGGACACCGCCAGGACTCAGATCACGAGCTGCTATTTCTTGAACTTCACGACGCAGGGGGTTTTGGTGCAAGGAGGGCGTGATGCCTTCATCCAGTCCTGTTTCCTCGGTCAACGCCCCACAGTTGGTGGGGGCGTCGGCGAGAAGGACTATTCTGGTACTGCGATCGACCTCGCCGGTAACGACAACGTCGTTACCGACGCGGTGATCTTCTCCTCCGCGATCGGGGTGGTGCTGAGAGGGCAGGCCAACATGTTGAGGAATATCCACACTTACAACAAGGAGCGGATCTTCGGCGGGATCGGGATCCTGGTCAGGGCGTTCGCCGACTACAACCGGATCACCGACTGCTTCGTCGACTACAACTCCATCGTGCTGGAGGACCCCAGGTAGTTTTAAATTTGGAAGTTTTACGTTCGAATATGTTAAGTAGTACCTAACACTAAGTGGTGATATCTTGAAATTAAACTTTGAGCCCTTTCATAGCAACACAACAACCTCACCATTATACTGGATTCTAGAGGTGGACAATTTATAATCCAATCCATCTACTTAAATGTCCAACTGATCTAATTCGTTTGATCCAAATTCAATTGGATTGATGAATTCATGGATTTGCACTCATTGGTAGCTCACAAATTACATTTTAGTACCTATACTTTTCTATTTATATTTTGGTACCTAAATTTTTTTAATGCAAAAATATCATTGGAAAATTATATTGTGGTACCTAAAATTTTTATTGTGACATTTTAGTACCCAAACTTTTCATAATTGATATATTAGTCTTAGACTTGAATGTCATTTGGATCCATCCACTAATCCGTTTTGCCTATATTTTGATAGATTGCTCTACTACCAGTTGAGTTGTTGCGTTTTCTGTTTTTCTCTTCCTCTTCATCTTTTTAGTTTTGTCTCATTTTTATTCGGGGTGCTCCTTTTTTCTTTTGATTGTTGTTTTGTTCATTATTTGTGGCTTGTTTGTTGGAATCGCTGGTGTTCTAATAAAAGTTTTCATCATTCATCAAACAAAAATTCATTTGATATATAAATCTACCAATCCAATTCATCAAATTCATGGATGCAGTACATTTGTCATCTCTACTATATTCTTTGTGTTATGCTGCTTTTGGACTACACTAAATGATATTTCATCTGGCTACGCAAAATGTATGCAGGTTCATCCAGATCACCAACAGCTTCTTCCTGGGTTACGCGAACGTGGTGCTGAAGGCGGTGAAGGGGAGGCTCGAGGCTCTCTCCATCACCGACAACTTCTTCCGGGGGATCGACATGGCGCCGGTGGTGGAGCTGCAAGGGGAGTTCACGGAGGTCCGTGACGTGGCGGTGGAGCGCAACCAGGCGTGGAACTCCACGGTCAAGTCGACGTCGGCGAAGACGGTTCTGGCGAGGAAAGGGACCAAATGGGTGGCCGATTTCAGCAAGGTGCTGCTCTTCCCCGACAAGATCGAGTATTTTCAGTACTCGTTCCTGGTGAAGGAGTCCAGCAGGATGCCGATACATGCTGCGACCGCCGTGGCCGGGAACAAGGTGGTGGTGGAGAGCGAGGGCGTGGCGGACGCTGTTGTTTCGGTGGTGGTCGATCAGTGCAATCCCATTTGAGAAGAGCTACTACTGATACTCTCATGCTTCTTTCCATTTTTTTTTTTTTGTTCTTTTGAAATGTAGTTTGTAACATTCTGTTTTGGTCCCTCGATCCCTCATCAGCGTATTTGTTGGGATTCAAATCCCTTGAAAGTTCCATTTTCTATGGCTCATTTTGTCACATGACTATGAATTGGAAATTCTTGTGCCTTTTTTTTCTTTCGAATGTCTATCTATTTACTGGTTGGTTAGATTGGTTCATATGTATCGTGAATGAAGTAAAATCATGAATCGATTTTGAAGTATCGTTTTATCTGTTTTTACGGTATGCATGAATTTACAAACTTATAGTGATATGGTTGGGATTCTTAGAGGTGACTACCTAGCTAGTAGTCTAGTACATTGATAAATCCTTATTATACTAGAATATATACATGATGAGTGGTGCTTAATGGACTTGGTTTGATATGGGTGGTTGGAGAGGGTTAGGTGCTAACATTTTTTTTGTTAGCATGGTACTAGTACTAGTTCTAATTAACAGGGACATTTGATTTTGATGCCTTTTTTTTTTAAGGTGTTGACCATAATTAATGAGGATTTATAAAGAGGGACGCGCTGGTTATTTATGAAATATTGGGGTACGGAAGATGAAATAGATAGGGTGTTAAACTTTTAGACTTTCGAGTTAACTGGGGTGTAAACTGTTCAGCCCTTTCGGACTTTCGAGTTAAAAAAAATTCACTCTTACGGCGCTTTTCGCCGTACTTCATATATAATGACTACAAATATAGAAAGAGTAGATTAGTAATAAAAGAAGAAAATTTTAAATTAACTTCTATTTTTGCCAACTTTTGGGATTTTAATGGGTGTTTGACTACAAATAATCAAACTTCTCATTCCTTTCATTGATTATTCTGCCTTGTACAACTTGCTAGCTGGGTGCTTGCTCCCCTTCTGATTTTTTTGCATGTGAAAGAAGCATAGAGACCCATGGAGGATAAACAACTAATTAAGGCCTAAAGAAATACGATAAATGAGAAAGTAGAACAAATATAACTTAGTTATATAACTTAATTGGATGACTTCTTATTAGCCTACAATTCTTTTTTTATAATGAAAAATATAATAACAAAAAAAGATAAACAAATGTTTTACAAATGGAGGAAAAACGGACCGATGACCTCACAGGTTGGATAAGAACTAATGAGAAATCAAGTTTAAAATTATCATTAGATAAATTTTGCGAGTTTATTTCAATCTTAACAAATTTTGATTCAAAGACAATTCCTAATAATCTCATGGCCCGCCACAACCTCGTCACTGTTGTCCCGAAGGACATACTCATCCGCATCTTGGCGCTGATAGCTAGCGACTCGACGAGCTACAGCGTGAGGCGTAGAATAAGCTCATGTGGGATGTCCTTCATGGTAGACAAGCTCATGTGGGATTGGTGTGCTGACGTAGAATAGGAGGAGCAGTGAGGTTGCAGTCACTATTAGAAATATCAGATTCTCGCTCACATAGAAATCGAGAGCGAGCGGGTTTATCCTGTGCCATACGAACAATCATTTTTACTGTATCAAAATCGCTAGTAATCATCGATCAATCGCCAGTCAGCCATTCGACGGTGAATTCGTTCCTGGACCTTGTAAAAAGGTGTGACGATTCACAATAAGACGGTCAACAATGTACAATCTGACTAGTACATGATCACTATCAAGAGTTCAACTGGAAGCAATGTATTGACATAGTTCTTGACATAACCACAATGTACAATCACATAGAGAAAGTGTTAATGCTTGGTTAAAGATGAACACACACACAAACACAATCAAATATACCTGGAATCCTTGGATTGCTTTAGCCTAGCTTTTCAAGAAGCGGCTGAGATGGGTCGATGCAAGCGATCCGAGAATCCGAACCACCTTAGGCAAGGTAGGATAAGTAAGGGTTCCGAGGATGAAGCAGTTGAAGCTGAGGAGAGCAACAGCATCGTAGGCCGGCTTGTTCCTGATCGTCGAGAAGGACTTCAACACGTTCCTCATCGACATCCCCACGACGGTGTAGAGAGGCACCACCAGCGGCATCACCGTGTCCTTCCCTTCCCACGCGATCATCCCAACAGTTAGAGACAGCACCGCGCTTAGCACGCTCTGCGACACCGCCATGTCTCTCTGCTCCATCAACACTACCTCATCATCACCCACCGCGTCCGAATCCCCTGCTTGTTCAGAAATGTCAGCAGCATTCTCATCAGCAATGTGCTCTCTCTCATCCTCCTCCCCTGCATTGCCTCCCAAGGTGGTTCGTAGCTGCTCGCGCTGGATCGTCTTTAACCGATGATTCTCGACCTTCAGAGTATGCAACTGCTAAGAGATGCACACACAAAAAGAAGCTAATTCATCGATCTTGGCCCGCAAAGTAGTCAAAATCGCGCTTTAAAACTTAAAAACTTACGATTTTGCGTTTCTAGATCACTATAACGCTTCTGTACAAAATCTTAGTTTTTATAACTTATGTAGTTAAAAACTCTGGTTACAACTTAAAAACTTACGATTTTACGCTTCTAGATCACCAAAACGTTTCTGCGTAGAAACTCGCTTTTGACTACATTCTTGGCAACTCCAATTGTCTAACTACTGATACAATTGACTAGGCAAAATCATCATCACAATTAGTAGTAGTAGTGGCTGATCAAATTCATACAAAAATCCAATTAATTACCTCCCTCTCCATCGGTTCAAGCTTGGTTATCAACTTGTCACTTTCATCTTCAGCTTCTGCCAACAACGAATCCAAGTTCTTGCATTCCTTAACCGCGACCCAGAGGCTTCCTACACGAGGCTGTGCAACAAGAAGCAAATACTGACAGTGAACGGGGAATTCCCAGGGCCAACTCTGTATGTTCACAGGGGAGACACGATCATTGTGGAGGTTATTAACAATAGCCCACATAACGTAACCCTTCATTGGTAAGTACTTTTGGATTTTGAAGACTAAATTCATTCATGACAACAAATTAAACGCGATCCACAAGTAGCAACCCTAGCTTTAATCACTACAATTTGTTTGGGTAACGATGTAGTTTGAGGTGCTGAAAATTAATCTTGGTATTTGGAGTAAATGAAGTAGTGATATTGGTCTTATTGTAGGCATGGAGTACTCCAACCTAGGAATCCATGGACAGATGGTCCTGTGTACATCACTCAATGCCCGATCCAGCCAGGAAGGAAGTTCAATCAAAGAGTGGAATTCAGCACGGAGGAAGGCACTTTGTGGTGGCATGCTCACAGCGAGTGGACATGAGCCGCCCTCAATGGAGCTATCATCGTGTACCCCAAGGAAGGCTCCACTTACCCCTTCCCCAAGCCTCACGCCGAAGTTCCAATCATTTTTGGTAATAATCTATAATTGCTTTTAGAACGTACCCCCATGGTTCTTAATGGTACGTGAATCAAGCTAATAAGAGGAATAACATTTCTGATTTGCAGCAAAATGAAAATGGTCCAACCATTATTCATTGTGACAACATGTCAGCCATAGCCATGACAAAGAATCCAATATTTCACGCAAGATCGAAGCATATCGAGTTGCGTCATCATTTCATCCGAGACCTCGTCAACGAAGCACAAATCGTGATGGAATTCATCAACACCGACGACCAGCCAGCAGATATTATGACAAAGGCGGTTACCCGTGAGAAATTTGAGAAGTTCAAGAAGCTACTCCGAATTGCAAATTAATAGGGGGTGTTGAATGGTAATTTGCAATCAACCTATCACTACAACATCACACATGGTAGGAACCCCATTATATCAAGAAACAAGCTCATTAAGACTACCTATCAAATTATGCAAGGAAAACAAATCCACGTGAAGAAAAGATGTTTGAACATCCAAATAATATTGATGTTCTCCTACAGACATATCTCATGGCAGCAATTAATCAAGCATGGTGGAAGGATAAGCTTACAGCTTTGACAAAGAATGTTGGAGCCAAAATAATATATGCATGGACCTAGGTAGTAATTGTCATTGGGTTTTCTTTTCATATATATGTTGTACGTATGGGTTTGCTAAAAATGGTGTCATAGAGAGTGACATAAACTAAAAGAAAGAAAAGCACAAGGTGTGTGTATGTCTCTGTGAGTTAAAGCATAAGCCAATTAGTATAAGGCTATGTTTGTGCCTTGTACAACTTGCTAGCTTATGGGTGCTTGCTCCTCTTCTATTTTTTTGCATGTGAAAGAAGCATAGAGACCCATGGAGGATAAGCAAATAATTAAGGCCTAAAGAAATACGATAAATGAGGAAGTAGAACAAATATAACTTAGTTATATAACTTAGTTGGATGACTTCTTATTAGCCTACAATTCTTTTTTTTATAATGAAAAATATAATAACAAAAAAATGATAAACAAATGTTTTACAAAGGGAGGAAAAACGGACCGATGACCTCACATGTTGGATAAGAACTAATGAGAAATCAAGTTTCTAATTATCATTAGATAAATTTTGCGAGTTTATTTCAATCTTAACAAGTTTTGATTCAAAGACAACTTCTAATAATCTCATGGCCCGCCACAACCTCGTCACCGTTGTACCGAAGGACATACTCATCCGCATCTTGGCGTTGATAGTTGGCGACTCGACGAGGAACCTCGTCAAACCCCTCCTCGAAGCATCTGCGGATGATTCTGTCTACCGCAACGCCAACCTCACTCCATTCCCCATCTTCTCATGGAGTATCAGCCCTTCTGGCGCCTCCTTCCTCGAGTGGCGATAGATGGCTCTAGACTATCCGATGAGGGTCAGATCGATCATCGAGTCTTTGTGGGTGTGGACGACGATAGCCGAGCTGCAAGGGAGGGGTTGCCACTGCTTACCGAGAAATGTCGTCAAATATGATGGGTGGGAGCCAAAGGAGGAGATCGAGCTCCATTTCTACGCTGCCAATGGTTGCCCCTTTTGCTTTTGAGAGCATAAAGTCATGGCACATTGCAGCTTGTTGAGATCCCGCTGAGCCGCTTCTGGATGAGAACCATCGATCAGGAACAAATAATGTGAGCTTTCTTGCTTGGTGTTTTTTTTATATATATGTTTAGTGTAACCCTAATATCCCATTTTCATCATCCCACGAACAAGTCATTCTCTTTGATAGAATAGAGTCTCTCTAGCTACTCTCTAATCTACATTTGGAGATAATTTCATTTCAGACCATCTTTCGGGTGTATCATTAAAACAAACCGAAATACCAATTGTTGCTTTTTCATCTCAAATCAAAACGACAATAACTTAGGGTCCTTGATCGACATAGTGGAATTAGTTTCAGGATATATATTCGTGATAATTTTCCTTTATACACTTTTACAAAAGGATCTCAGAGGTCTACACATATAAGACAAATATAGAAAATTTATGTTATATAACATAAATGAAAAGTAACATATATGCCACATATGTTGAGATCTTTTAGACAAAACCCGAAGGAAGTGAAAGAAATTCTATTTATTGTGCGTGCGTCACTGATTATACGGTTGGCCTTCATCTTCTTGATTAGTGTGCGTGCGTCACTGATTATATCATTAGCTTGCTGATCAGGCAATATAATTGTGGTACATACGTACGTTAGATGAATGATTTGATGGAGTCCTGTCAATTTGTTAGTAAGAAAATTATTGTCACTTAGTTTTTAGAGGAGTAATTCAAATATTTTTTCATTCAATGATTATCACTCAAGTTTGTCTATTCATTTCAAAATTTGGACAAAATTGTCTTATTTTAACGTTCATGAAAAAAACACGTCAAATTCAGGCCACAATAAGGTATTCTCTACTTTTTATAAATAAATTGAGTCATAGATGAAAGAAATATTTGACAATCAATACTAATGGTAAACCCTAATTTCAGGCCAAATTTGTCTATTTGTTTCGAAATTCAGTAAAAAAATGTTTTATTTAAACATTCAAACAAAAGTTGTTTTTTATGTCAAAGTTGAAATGAAAATAAGGTATCATCTCTAACTAAAACTAATAGTCACGGTGACATGAAAATGAATTCCGCATGATAAACCCTTGCGTTTTGGGAATTGGACATGGATTAATAGTTGATATGTGCTTTAGAAACTGTTTATGATTTTAATCAATGGATTGGTCCAAGCCCAACTTATGCACCGGAAGAGGGCAGAAAATGATTCGTCCAATAGCTTTGTGACCTTATTTGGATTGATTTTCGGTGGGCTAGCAAGCAAGTGTAGCTCTTTTCTTCTACCTCATTGCAAGAACTAGAATTAAGGTTTCATAGTCAGAACTCAAAACCTAGGCATCTTGTTATGAGAATTGGGTCATCGTAGCAATTGGGTTAATTATTTGGGCCTAATTATTTTTATTGTATTAATTTTTTATTATTATTGTCTTTATTAGTAGTTTCCTTGGTTTAAGTAGGATTTGGTTATTGTGAGTTGTTTCCTTGTAGGAGTAGAAGTTATGTTCTAGATAGGAGAAGGTAGAGGTTTCTATGCCTATAAATATGTATTCTGAATTTCGTTTAATGTCATGAGAAAGATTGGAACCCAAGTAACTTGATAGTTTAGTTCTTCCATCCTCTAATTCTCTTCGTCCTAAGTCTAATTCTCTTCGTTCTAAAACAATTCTTAAGCAGAAGGCAGTTTGATTTAACCTTTGTGTCCGTCATGTCTCGAACAACGAGACGTGACGAAGGCGCAGAAGCAAAAGATCGAGTAAGCGATCTTTCCGACGACATTCTGTATCACGTCCTCTCTTCACTCCGCGACGCAAAACTCGTCGTCCAAACCAGCGTCCTCTCGAAGAGGTGGAGGTACTTGTGGAAAGACGTCGGCGTCCTCAATCTCGACCAGAACTCCTTCTCCACGAGCGAGGGTTGCAGAACTTTCGTACGCAACTTTCTTCCCCTTCGGTCGAAACGCGCGACCGTCGGCGACATGGAACTTATTAGCTTCACGTTCAAATACACGAGAGCGGAAATCAAACACGGTGTTCCTCTCAACCCGTGGGCGGACCACGAACCGTTCGAGATGGTCATGGGTCACGCTGGTCGGACCGGCGGCCTGCGCGCTCTGTCCATAACGCATTCCTTCTCTTGATAGTCACAAATAGGGGGTGTAGATTTAGGTTCGGTTATTCATTTTAGAAACCGAACCGGTTATATACATTATCGAGTTTTTCAGTTTCGAGTTTGTCTAATTTCGGTGTTGAGTTCTCGATTTTTAGGTTTTTTTTATCGGTTCCGGATTCGCTTAAAAAAAACTTAAGGCTATAGCAACTTTTTAGATCCCATAGTTCGTTTCGATTTTTTGGGTTTCGATTTTGCTTTAACCGAACTCGAAACTGGTAAGGGAGTTTTGGTTTTACTTTAACCGAACGCGAATTGAAAACCAAAAATCTCTTGTCGATTTCGAGTTCGGTTTTTCAAAGGATAAAGAGTTTTGGGTTTCGGTTCGGGTACCGACACCCCTCACAAATGCCGCCTGATCGAGACGATTGTATGATAAGAGCTAGGTACGATGCTAATTTACACACTAATATGTATTATCAATTGAGATTCATAGACCGTCATGATATTGTAAAATGAGTAACTAAGCTAAACCAAAGACATGAACTACTAGTTAGCAATGTGATATCTTAACATTGAACAGACGTATCTGATAGGGATGTGAGATATGAAATCGTATTTGTCAGTTATATGACGGACTTGTCTCATCAAACTATGTGATGTTTAAAACGATTAACGCTTAATGCAACATTGAGTCGGCCATGAAGGTTTTGGAGGTTGAATTAAAGGGTAAGATAATACTCTTTAGCAACATATATAGGAAGTTATATACATTAAGATTATACACTTGTAAAGTATGAACGGATTATTATTATTAATAATAATAAACAAAATTTAAATAAATTTTTAGTGAACAAAAATATATATGTTGATTTGGTGGACTAGGGTATTGATATATATTCCGGGAACCAAAGCCTTAATCCTATTGGGCCTATTGAGCCCACTTTCTTCCCTTATTTTTAAATACTTCTCAAATCCCCGAGCAAGCAAGTATAGGCTCTTTTCTTCTACCTTATTGCAAGAACTAGGATTAGGGTTTCGTAGTCAGAACTCAAAACTTAGCCAGCAAATCGTCGCCGACAATTTCTCATCAGCCGCTTCCGGCGGAAGATAGATAGTCTGATTTACCTTTTGTCCGTTATGTCTCGAAAACGGAGACTTGACGACGGCGCAGAAGTAAAAGATGATCGAGTGAGCGATCTTTCCGACGACATT